TTAAATACCTGATTTTCAGCCCCAAATTATTATAGGAAAAGGATGCAAAAAAGAAAGAATATTTGAAATTAATATAGTTTGAGTTTTTCACTTAGGATCTTTGATTTTGAGTGACTGTGAGAAAGAACAAAACAACAGACCTTGGATGGAGTTCAATTGATAATCTATACCATGATTTTATACAACATCATTAATCTCATTTAATGGAAGAAAGTCAAGATGTAAGTTTTATGCTATCCCCTCAAAGGACAATTTTAATTGCCCCTCAGTGATGATTCACAAGAGACATACACAAAACAATGAAAACTACTAATTTTAATTGATTTTAATTTGGATTTTATAATGGAATGGTCCAAATATGAGTAGTTATACTTTCATAATTAATGTTAACATTTCAGCATCATTCTAATAGGTATAACGTGAAAGCAAGCAGAATTTAAACTGAGTAAGAGCCAGTTTCTTACAAGTTCATGTTCTCACCTATATAAACTTGTGCGGAGAAGAGCTACCTAGCAAGTTTAAATTTTGAGAATTAAACCAGGGCATTTTTTAGAGTAACAATATTTAAGTTTTAACATTCGTAAGTCAACAAAGGTTTAAAAAAATATTAATTCATTTTAAGAACAGCAATAAACATTTCCTTCATAAGTAAAAAATAAAAATCCTAAAATTGTAAAATAGAGATTGGCACTGAGGACAATATACATGATAGAGTAATAGACAAATGAAGATGCTTGTTCTGACGTCACTCAGAGACCCAAACATCTAAAATAAAAACAAGGCAAGTAGGCCGATATTTTGCATGGTGTGTATGTGCTGGGCAAAGCTAACTTGAAAGAAAAAAACAAATTGTTTAGAAACATTTGTTTAGAACTTTAATAACCTTTTGCTTATTTAAACTTTTTTACTTATATATTTAACCATAGGCTTTTAAAAATAAATTCCTAACCCCAAAGGAATTTCTTTTAAAAAGCCAATGGTGCAACATTTATTTTTAGTCAAATTTCTGCTACACTTTCTTTCAAAGGTTCCAGGGTAATGTTTTATTTTTAGAGCTACTGTATAATTGTAACTTCTAACTTTACTGGTCTTTATAAACTGTGGTATATAACTGTTTATTAGAAAAGTACAAGTAAGTACTTTTAATAAACACTGATAGGACAATCAGTCTGCCAAATAGCTTATAGCCATATCAACTACTACCAATTATGCTTCTCATTAAAAATGACCAGCCAACAAAGGCTGTCCCAACGAAACATAAAAAGGACCAACCTCATCAATAAGGGGAAAAATTGTAAATGTGTTAACTGAGAAAGCAAGGTGCTAAGAAACTGGGAAAAGGGGGTTGGGTGGAGTGGGGTTTGCCCCTGATACTTTACGATTACTTTCAAGCTCAATTATATGATTCTAATAAATAACAAGATTATGGTAAATGAAAGAACATCTAAGATCTAGAAAAGCTGAACTATGTATTCAAAATAAAATAAATTCAACTGTTTACAGACTATGAATTGAAATTATAACTCAGGTTTCCAAGTGGAATTGCTGGGCAGAGGTAAGTTTTATTATATAAACAAAAATCACCAAAAATGTAATATGAAGACAGAAATTTAAAACTATTTCAGGTAAGAATTTTTTCTTTCAAAAGCTAAGCTTTCCAGATAGATAATTTCAATCATCTGTGGTACTGGGGCTGAAAGTATCTCAGCAGGTAAATACTTAATGAAAAAATAAATCATTATTTTTAATAATACAGTGTCCAGAGAACTCATGTCCTCAGATATTAAAATTTGGCTTAAAAATAAGTATACCAATTGTTTTTACAACTGAGATTTTAACTAAAATGTTTCTGAATTGGTAAATGAGATTTAGAGTTTAAAATGTAGTAACAGTGTTGTGAGAGCCATTGCCAGAATTTGTCATTTCATTATTCTTTCCCATGAGCCTCCACCCTGGACTGCTTACAGTGTTCATCACAGCACTTGGCATCAAGAATCGTAACTTATTAAAAAAAATTTATAACTAAATTTTTTAATTTAACCTATACCTAAGAGTTCTCAGTAATAAGTGTTTTGTAATTTATGCAAAAAATATCGCAGATACTACCAAAAAAGCAATGCACCTACGTGCTAATTAGTATCCTATTCATTTTAATTAAAGGTTAATGGATTAGGAAGCCATTATAAAAGTTTTAAACAACTAGGCTTTACACATTTTGCATATCTTTACAAAAAAGTCTCTATAGCTATAACTTATAAAAATTACTAAAGTGGATGTACAATCTACAAAACAGAAATGGTAAACAGAGTCTACCTTAAAACATTTCCTTTCCTATGCTCACAAAATATAAAAAAGGATAGTTTAAGACCTTAGTAACAGAATCATTTCATTAAATAAAGACTTATGATCTACTTAACATCTTCTCTTTGAAAAATCAGTATCTTTTCTATTACTATTTAAGAAGTTAGTAGGGACTGGCATCAATGGAATTTTAACAGATATGTATGATGTGTAGGAGGCTGTGGATTGGGGGAAAAGGGTTGTCACTTTGTGAGGGGTGAAAAGTGTAACTATTGCATTGTTTTGTACACCTGAAACTAATGAAAAAAAATAAGAATTCTTAGATATGACACCAAGAGAAAAAAACAGAAAAAAAAAAAAGTTAAGGATTCTGAGAAACATCAAGTTTTGCCAGCTCTGTTTTATATTGGATAGATTTTGTCCTAGATTCCCTTATAGTTTTAAAAACAGAAGTCCAGACTAAGTACAATTTTTAAATTTCTTTAAGTCATGTGCATTGTATGGTATTCACATTAATAAACTACTTGTGGAGTAGGGGGAGAGAGAGAAGGATCAAGGAGCCTCTCCTAGTACAATTAAATTCCTTCCATTTCTAAGCAGTGTAACAAACATTTCAACTGTTACACGTTGAAATAAAAGTGGCTGAACTTGATAAACTTGAATGTATGTTCACATATAATTTTGCTCTTGAACTCCATGACAGAAACTGGACTAAGTTTTAAGGTAGAGTCTATATTCTGAATAAATCTAAATGAAAATCTGAGCGATGTGCCATGATGCATCATAACAAGCTGGATCTCTATCATGTGGTTTTGGTTTTATCACACAATGTAAATATTGCATTTAATATAAAATGGTGAAGACATTGAGCAGAAATCACATTACCTTTTTTTTAAATGCATTCTAGCATTTTCAAGACCACTAAGGAAAATATAAAAATATTTACAAATGAAAGTAAAGCAATTCTTAAAAGTAAAAATTGTTCACAATTTTTAAAATAACTATTCCATAAACTGCTCAAACTGAGAAGTACACTATTTATTTTAAGTTGAATACAATCTTTCTATATAATAAACTGAAAACGGTTTAACATTCAACTTCCACATGAAATCTGATGTTCTTGCTTTTCCCATTTGTGAAGTTACCCAATTATTGTTACTCTCTTACCCTGATAGTGCTGGTCGTGAATGGGAGCAACAGAAACCAAAATTCGTTAAAGTTAGATTGAACAAGTACAGTAATACCTTGGTTTGCGAGCATAATTCATTCTGGAAACAAACTACTCATATTGCAAGACATTGCTCATTTACCACGTTAAAATGTATTAGAAATGTTTGCTCGTCTTGAGGAACACTCGCAAACCACGTTACTTGTAATCCATGGCTTTACTGTATGTTATATTTTATAAATTCTGGGGCAGCAAAAATGCTAGTTCTTTTATAACAAAACTTGGAATAGGAATAGATCAATGAACCATTTATACATAACATACTATGTGGAAAGAACTGTTGCTGATTTTCAGAATATGGATGGGTGGATGGATGAATGGAAAGATAGACATATTATATGCAGACATACACATAAACATATACAACATGTACATTATATATAAATGATCAGGCTGCAGACCAACATATCAGTCTATGGCTCTTTCCACATACATACATACATACATACATACATACATACATACGTACGTACATACATACATACATGGCTATGAAACTACACTCACAGAGCAAGATCACCAAGCTCTGAGTCACCTTACCCTTTACTTCAAATGGGTTAAAAACACAACCACCAACAAAAACAAACCCAGTGCATCTTTAAAAGCAAGTGATCATACACTGTTACATACTGAATATACCATAACACAAACTCTTTATTTACTAGTTCCAGAAGAACTTTATGAAAAAAATCCCACAGATAAATACAAATTCCTATAAACAACAGTATTTCCCCCTTCAAATAGTTTTAACACTTTTACAATGCATTTGGAATGTCTTCTCTGGATATGAATGGCAGCTTCATTAAACAGAAAAATTTTAAGTACTGTATTTGACCTACAGTGCATGGAGCCTTGCTATAATTTGGACCATGCTGTGTAAATATACTAAGTTCCTTCTGAAAATTAAATTCCTTAAAAATAGTAAGGTAAATTTCTATATTGTAGTTATTCCACTCAATATAAATTTTACTGAGATTGACCTTTCTTTGCTAAAACAATATGATGATATTCTTTATTTGATTTAGCAATGTTTTTCTCACTCTAGATAACAACAGGTAAAACAAGTTACATAGTCAATAACATCAGTGATACTGTTCCTCAGAAAGCAGAAAGAACCTGCCAATAGGTGAATATTTGTTTTTTAAGTTGTCAAATAGAAAAACAACAAAAAAAAAAAATCAGGAGAAAAGTCTTTATTCAAGTAGTCCTAGTACAACCAATAAGAAAACATCCTCTCCCCAAAACCCCCACCAAGGCTATATTTAAAAAAAAAAAAAAAAAATCAAAGGAATCCTTTTTGAATATTTCTAGTTTCTCTAGCAACCTCAGAATTACTTAAAAATATAAAGCATTTTAATAGTATCTTCATAAAGGATTTTTTTAAAGATAAATTCCAACTATCTGTTGTACTTAAAACGCTGGAGTTGCTTTCAATAAAAAAAAATAATAAAAATAATTAAAAAAACAATAAAATCAGCTTAAAATAAATTTATTGTACAATACAAAAAGCAGGCATACTGGAAAATAAAAGGTACATTATTAAATATACAAAGCAAATGAAAGCTAAATAACACAAATGTTTTAATCCAAACAAGGAGATTAAAATGCACAACATTTATGCTAAAAATAAAGTATTTCAGGAAGGATATGCATTTCAAATGAAATGTTAATGATGAATAAAAAGAAAAACAAATATGCTAATTTCTAAATGCTTGAATATCAAGAATCAGTAATGGCATGAAACATTAAATCCAACAATACTGGGTAACTTTTCAAGAACTGTATTTGAAAAGGTATTTAAAAAACTGAAAGAATCAAAATAATGTCCTTAAATCTGGCAAAGATTTTCCTTTTTTTGTTTAAAGTACAGTTTGAGGGCCTATTCACAGTATCTTCCCTCCTTCCATTTATACCTTCCTACAAAAGCTCCTGGATGCTCATCCTTAACAAGATTCTATAAACATAATCACTTAGATAACCCTACTTTACTGCTAAATGTGCATTTCCGCCTTACCAACATAATAAAAGTGCCACAAATTAACAACATACTTTTGAAATCTATACACATATGGACACAATATGCAACATGAAATTGTCATTTTATAAAGTAAAACTAACCTGTAAATGAAATAGTAAAATGTAACAATACAGAGCATATGGGGACGGGGAGCCTTTTTTGCAAACTATCAATTAAGGCATTCAGTTCCCCAAACCACAAATGGTTCTGGTGAAACTAACACAAGTGATACTATCCAAAGGTATAGCCAAGGTGAGGCCTTCAGACACAGGACTCTCCTGTAAAAGGCCAAACCAGAAGCATCCAATTAGGATATGCATCTGTACATTAGAAACATTCAAGTAACTATAAAAATCCTTGGTAAAACCTCTAAAACTTAACATATAATTATTTAAATATGTAAGTTTTAATACTTACTATTAGCCCAAAAGGCTTTTGACCAACGCCTTTGGGAGGAAACTTTATTTCCTAATACCATAGATCCCAAAGTCAAGACATCATATGATCAGGATTTTCTATATTTATATTTGCACTAGTATCGAAATGACCCAGTGAGATCTTTTTTTGCTACATCATAGTATTTACTTTTTACAAACTTTACCCTACCATATATATGCCATGATACTAAGAAACTATCAAGTTCTCCTTCTAGGCCCTACTCTTACCCCTCCAAAATTTACAAGTTTAAAAATAAATTAAAAACAACAACAACAAAACACCTTGAAGATGTGGGGAACTGTGGGGAGAACCACAGAGGTATATGGAGGAAGAAAGAAGTGTGAATAGGTCCTATAGCATTTTACAATCACTTTGCCAAGACAGACTTTAAATATTGTGAATTATGTGAAATCAGTTTGGGTAGAACCTATGGTCCTTCTCTTAAAAACAACTTTTGATACTCAATATTGCATTTTTATAAGCTAACAAAAGGATTCAGATCTAACAGATATTTTAGTAGTATACTTACTACCTTTAGACTGAATTCATTTCCTAAATACTCTAAGATTCAAATAGAACAAAATTTATGAGACCTTATTATAATTTATCATAAGATTCATTAGCATTTGTGAAATTATTAGAATAAAATTATTAAAAGCTAAAAACCAAGATTCACCATTTGTACTTAAATATAACAGAAAAAGTTACGTGGATAATATGAAAATAAAATTGCTCATGTAAACATTTCACTTGAAGACAACACTGTTGCTCCTTCTGAGTAACCATTATAGCTTTTGAACAGTGAAACATGTCATTATCTTACATCTGGAACTCTTTGGCTGGAATGTTGTAACGTAAGACATTCCAGTACATGACAATTCTGACAGAACATAGGAGTTGCAAAGTTAAAAAGCAAAGACATGACTTATAAAGTATCTGATAAAATTTTAAATGAATTTTTAAAAATTTAAAGCCAATCTATCACTAGAGAAATGGCATAAAATGTAAACTTAAGCTAATTTTATAATCTACTGCTATATTAAATAATTTGGGATTATTTTGTTTTAAAAGTTTTGCATTTAGCATAGAAATTCTATTGCCACTACAGACATCATGTCAGTTTTAAAACTGGAAAAGAAAAAACAAAATATAATGAAACTTACAAGTTCAATGTGTGGGTTTTAGAACAAAGAAATTACAAATTTCTGTTACTACTATAAATGGGATTATCTGACTTTATAGTTTAAATCTTAATTACACCAAGATAAACTTTAAAGAAATTTTTCCGTTTTGCGTTTAAAATAAAGCAAATTTGCTGCATTTACTTACACTTTTTAAAAACTGATAAATCCACTTTTTAATCTATTATCTTTACACAAAGATTAAAAGAAAAAAAAGCTTTATGGCTCCAGCAACCAAGGTTGAGAACACAGAAAACTCAAATATTTATAGTATGCAAAAAAGCTAAAAGATGTAGGAAAGATTAAATGAAGAACATTCTGAAACTAGAACCCATTTCTTTAGCTTTTCTCTCCCAGACTTTCCATTCTATATACTACAGTTGTAGAGATGTCCTCATTTGACTCAGGTGACACTTTTTTCCATACTGTCTCTTTTAAAGCAAGTTCTTGTTGGAGACTTTCATAGTCCAATGGTCCAAAGGAATGCTAGTTGTTCAAGCAACATACATAATTTATTAGTGCACTCGAGTGAAGAAAGGTCCAAGCTATAAAATGGTATTTTTCAATGAATGTTATTAAAATCTCTTAGCATTTTCACCCACAACCATTTGATGTTTTGCAACATGTTACACATGTCGACTCCCATGGAAGTGTCTATTCTGTTGGCTTTGCATAATTCTCATATATTATTAGAAGTTACTTTGATTGGAACTAATAATAGAAATATTTAGTTTATGTATTAAAAATATTTTCTACTTATAAGTGCTTCATATGAGCTTCAAGTCTAATTAGGTAATTTTACTATAAACATTTTCCACATGGGATGCAAAGGAATTTTATTAAAACTCAAAATAAGTCCCTTGGTCCAGTGAACAACTATGAAGACAAAAGAAAACCTTGTTCCTGAAATTTTGGTTCTGACTCTAATACTAGCTCTAAAATAGTAGTATGTATGTGTAATAAATAATATGAAATCAAGCATACTAATAAGAAAATATTACTTTAAGAATATCAGGAATACTACCTTAAAAATTTTTTATAGAAAAATATTTTAATCTACACTGGTTTATAAATCTTATTATGAGGCTTTATAAGGTCTCTCACTAATCATATAATCCCTTTCTCATTTACATACCCATCCACATCAAAATAAATTTCAAGATTATAACTGACAAATATGAAGAGTAAAAACAGGCTTTCTTTATAGCATGTAGCACTTTCTAATAGTCTTCTTTCAACAGAATCAATTCTTTAAGATATTGCTTAAAATAGCAAAAAAATGGGGTGGAGGGGAACCCTGCTTCTAGGCTAACCAGTTTGAATTTAAATACAACAACAATATTTAATATCTACGCACTACAGGTCCAGGGTCCAGGATGAAAATTTCAACAGTTTGTTTACACTCATTCATTATCAGCAAAGACAGGAGGTCATTAACAATTAAACTAAAGTTTTGTCAGTGAATCTCATTTTATCTCTCTTAAAAACTATTACATACTCTAAAGAATTTCACTTACCCTTTGGTCACCACCTTCTCTTCGAGGATCAAGTTTTTTTGCAAAGTGTCTTAAATTATCATAGTTATGGAAATTACACAGAGAAACAAGATCCTGTAAATAAACAGAAATTGGCTATCGTTTTTAAAATATTTAACAAATTATATTAGTACTGTCCAACTTATTATCTCATTCAAAGAACCACTGCATGTTAATAAAGCAGTATAATACATCGAGAGGACTGATACCAAAACAAGATAAGATACAAATTTTGAGATCGCTGCTTACTAACATGACCGTAGGACTCAGCCACTCAAAATTGTTTAACTTTCATTTCCTATAAAACGGACCTTATAATAACATGCCAAATGAAAGAATTCTTTCAAATATTCATTTAAAAAACACAAAAATATAGATAAATATTCTGGTTACAATCTTTATAATCTATAAGCAATTCAATGTTATTCTCTAGTTTAATAGAATATAAAAAGTGAAAAATCAGAATTTTAATTAAAAAAGTCTGAAGCGGGCAGGCCAAGTGGCGCATTGGTTAAGAACTGGCTTGGGGGCCGGCCGAGTGGCGCGATGGTTAAGAACTGGTTTGGGATGCCAGAGGGCCCCGGTTCGGATCCCACATATGAGGGCCAGTGACATTGCCCTCTACAGCTAAGATGCTGAACAACAGCTCAACCTGGAGCTGG